TGAACAGAACATCCTCCAGTCTACTAGCTGGTCAGTCCACAAGGCTGGATGTCTCAGCTGGTCTTCAATTTACGATGAAATCTCAAAGTAGATTCCAATACCAGTGAAGGGATGGAAGTGATAAAAACACTGGGGCAAACAGACAAGGAGCAAAGGGTTCATTCTACCACATCCTTATATGGGCTTCTAGCAGAAGGTGTGGCCCAGGTTAAGGCTGTGTCTTCCAGCCTCATGATCCTTTTCAAAGGTGTGTGTCCTTCCACCTCAACATATGGGTTAGAGGCAAGGAAGACTCCTGCAAGATAGGCTGCTCCAGCCCGCTGTAATTTACAAGAACCCCCATACCCAAACTCACCCATCCCCTCCCCTAGACCTCAGTGGCTCCCCAAGACAGAGAGCAACTGCACAGAGTGAACCAAGGGGTAAGCAACCAGCCTCCCAGCTGGACAGCCCAGTCTCCTGGGGCCCTAGGATAAAGCCCAGGCCCCTCCCTCACCTACCTCATGCTTACTAGCTGATCAGCAGGCAAGCCTCCTGCAGACAGGCTGCTCCACCCCCCAATCAAACCCAGTAATCTAAAAGTTCCACTCTGAGCCCAAACCTACCCATCACCTGAGACCTCAGGGGCTCCCCGAGACACAGACAATGATTACACAGACTGGACCAAGAATGGCTTCCTGAGACACAATGATCAGACCAAAAGGCAAAGACATTGCCTACATTGATTAGAGAAAGAGATGGGTAGACACTAATACAATAATATATTCTACAACCTAAAGTGAAACACGGCATCACTAGAACCTATTGTTCCTACAACGGGAAGACTGAACATCCCAACACAGAAGAAGCAGAAGAAAATGACCGTAAAGTAACTTTATGAAGATCATAGCAACCCTCAAAGAGGAAATGAAAAATTTCCCTGAAGAAATTGAGGTAAAGATGGAAAATGGGAAGAAAGCAATAAATCTCTTAAAGAAAGCCAAGAAAAAGCCAGGCGTTGGTGGTGCACGCCTTTAATCCCAGCACTCGGGAGGCAGAGGCAGGCGGATCTCTGTGAGTTTGAGGCCAGCCTGGTCTACAGAGCGAGTTCCAGGACAACCTCCAAAGCCACAGAGAAACCCTGTCTCGAAAAACAAAAAAAAAAAAAAAAAAACAAACAAAAAAAAAAGAAAGCCAAGAAAAAGCAATCAAACAGGTGAAGGAAACAGTTCAAGACTTAAAAATTGAAATACAGGCAATAAAGAAAACACAAACACAAACGGAGAGAATGTTGGAAAATGAAAATCTGGGCAAGTGAACAGGAACTACAGATGCAAGCATAAACAACACAATATAAGAGATGGAAGAGAGAATCAGGCATTGAAGATTCTATAGAGGAAATAGATTTATCAGTCAAAGAAAACATAAAAGTCATAACACAACACATCCAGGAAATCTGGGACACCATGAAAAGACCAAACCTAAGAATAACAGGGACAGAAGAAGAATACTAACTCAAAGGCACAGAAAATATATTCAGCAAAATTACAGATTAAAACTTTGCCAACCTAAAGGAGTATATGCCTATGAAGATAAAAGAAGCCTAAAGAACATCAAATTGATTGGACCCCCTAGAAAATCCCCTTGTCACATAATCAAAACATAAAATATACAGAATAAGGAAAAAAGCTGCACAGGAAAAAAGACAAGTAATATATAAAGGCAGACCCATCAGAATAATACCTGACTTCTCAATGGAGACCCTGAAAGCAAGAAGGTCCTGGATAGATGTTATGCAGACACTAAGAGACCATGGATGTCAACCCAAACTACTACACCCAGCAATAATTTCGATCACTATAGATGGAGAAAACAAGATATTACATGACAAAACTAGACTAAAACTATACTTATTCACAGATCCAGCTCTACAGAAAGAAGTAGAAGGAAAACTCCAAGCCAAGTAAGTTAGTTACACCCATAAAAGCACAGGCAATAGATAATCCCACCAGCAAACCCTAAAAAGGGAAACACACACACACACACACACACACACACACACACACACACACACACACACACCAAACAGGAATTAACAATCACTGGTCATTAATATCCCTTAATATCAATGGACCCAACTTGCTTGTAAAAAGACACAGGCTAACAGAATGGATATGAAAACAGGATCCATCTGTCTGCTGCATAGAAGAAACACACCTCAACCTCAAAGACAGACATTCCTCTGAGTAAAGTGTTTGGACAATACTTTCCAATCAAATGGGGCTAAGAAGCAGGCTGGTGTAGCTATCCTAATATCTAACAAATTAGACTTCAAACTAAAGGTAATCAAAAGAGACTAAGGACATTTCATATTCATCACAGGAAAAAAAATCCATCAAGACGAAGTCTCAATCCTGAACGCTTATGAACCCAAATACAAGGGCACCCACATTTGTAAGCAATGGTTCAAACAGCGTGCAAAGAGCTGGGTTTTTATAATGTCGCAGGAGCCCAGTGACAGTCGAGGGGTGAAACACACAAGTGTCGTGGGCATTGAAGCTGAAGTTGTGGTTCCACTGTTCGATCAGGGCGTGCTGGGACCTGTTGAGGAGGTGGGAGCTCCCAGAGACGAGGTAGTCCTCCTATGCAGAGTCCCTAAGCAAAAAACAAAAAACCAAAAACCGTGTCTTCAGGTCTCCCTTGCAGAATGGCTTCTGCTTCCTATGGGTCTATCACACCTCCAGTAACAGGGATGCCCTGTGATCTGAAGCAGATCCGTCACAAGGCACGGTGTGTAGTAGATCTGCATATGAACGTTCCAAGCTCCCTGTCTGCTAATGTGGGTGTCCAGGACACTTAACTGGTGCTGCTTCTGTCTCCATGACTGCAGGAACGGGGTGGTTGAGTCCTCTTGTGAGTTACAGTTCAACTGTGGAACTGCAACACCATCACCACTCATTTCCATCATCCCAGGAGCTAACTTTGGTCCCAGTTTGTACAATGGATTGGCCTGTGCTGGAGATGCGAATGTGTGTATTTGTGGAGTCCCCTTTAATACTAAGCCATCTTCTCTCTTATCTTCTGGAGACACCAGTGAGGAATCAAATGTGTCAAAAATGTTAAATGTGGGCTCACAGGGGCCGTATTCTGATTAATCCAATGCCCTCTTTGTGTTAAATCTGAGGCAGTAGGAAAAGGGCAATTCTCCAGAATTAATTCAGAAAGATGGTTTTTCTTTTGTTGGAAAAGACTTTGACTGCTTGCTGTAAGTTCTCATGGGGAAACCCAAACCCACAGTAGCCTGGAGCCTCAGAGAGCTGCTCCAGACTGCCAGGCCAAAAACACTGTCCATATCTTTGATGGAGATGACACCAGAGAGCCTATGTCACCTCTAAACCCTGCTTCAAGGTCGACCAAAGGTTTTCTCAGTTTTCAATGAACTCTGGGTCTTTGTGGAACTGGAATGTTTCTTCTTCCATCCCCATGGGGCATGTGGAGAGTCTCTTTGCACAAGCCTTGTTCCCGGGGTGGCACAGGAGTCACTGTCCTTCTTGGGGCTTATTTCGACCATTGGAAGGATCTCCGTGGCAGTTTTGGTTTTGTCTTGAAAAGGTCTTTGAAGGGCTGAGTCCCAGCTGCAAGGCAACGTTTTCCCTTAAGGGACTGCTCTGCGGCTGGGGAGTGGACTCTCCTAGATTGATGCTTTTCTCTTTGTCAGACAGACACCTGCTGGAGTTCACGTCCACACACTCTCTGAGGCTCCCTCCCTCATGGCTAAATAGAACCTGGCACCTGTGTGTCATGTCGTTTCTCACTTTCCCCATTTTCCCCATTAATTAGAAGAACGAGAGCCTACTTTGTGCAAGCTCCCGTCACGGAGTGAAGGAGCTAAATGCCGTGGCTCATCTTCCATTCTCGACGACCCAACCCAGCCCAGTGTCCATGACGCCTATGCTGAAGCTCCAAGGTATTTGCAAGAAGAGGACTGTGTCGGGCATGGGGACCCGAGAAAAGGAGATGCTGCCACTTAGGCAGGGGACATGAAACAGCTGGGCCTCATCCAGGGCACCTGTGGCCAGGCAGGATGGGCCAGAGCAGCTCTGTCAGTTACAGGATGAGTCCAACCTTTAGGGAGTCTCATCCTGGGCTCCTACCAAGCCAGGACACTTCCTCAAAGCTGAACTGGGGGGGGAACTACAGCTTGGTTAGATGCCCCCACCAGTCCCCACCCCTTCCCAGATGCCTCACCCTCCTCCTAACCCTCCACCGGAATGGAAAATACCTTGAGTGGGGAGCAGGCAGGACCAACCACGATTTTTTTTTAATGTGTACAATTTGGAACCAGGTAAAGGATCTGTTAAATTGAATGCATTTCAGGGACAGAACTTGCAATAAACAGAAAGACAGGAACTATAAAAGTATGTTTTATATGGTTGGTTCGAAGCATGAATCTTGTGATGCACAGCAAACTCAGAGACAAAACTCAAGGCACTTTTTTTGTTATTACATTTTGTCCTCATTATGAGTGTTTCTTTTTAGAGACAGGGTTCATGTAATCCTAGCTCGCTTGGAACTCACTATGTATATCAGGAAAGCCTCAAACTCAGAGATCCCCTTTCCCCTGTCTCCTTAGTGCAGGATTGAAAACTTGCACCAGCATGCCTGGCACTGTTATGACTTTTTGAATGTTGAACAAGAGAAATGTTTTTATGACATCTTTTCCCAGGGGCTGGAGATATGACTTAGTGGTTAAGAGCACTGGCCCCTCCTTCAGAGGACTGGGGTTCAATCTCCACCCCCTCCACACACACACACAGAGAGAGAGAGAGAGAGAGAGAGAGAGAGAGAGAGAGAGAGAGAGAGAGAGAGAGAGAGAGAGAGAGAGAGCAGCTCACAATTGTCAGGAGCTCCAGCTTCACTAGATCTGATGACCCTGTGACCTCCACCTGCACCAGGTCTACGTGTGGTGCACAGTAAAACAAGCAGGCAAAGAACACATACACATGAAAAGAAATAAGAAGTTCTTACCAAAGGACACGAATTTTATTCTGGCATAAACCCTGTGATAGTTTCTAAAAGTTAAACTTCATTAAAGTCTTTCACAACTTTATCTTTACATTTCTATTATATATACTGTTGTGATTTGCAAGCAGAGAACATATATGTTATACCACATTGTTTACAATGGTATTTTTCCCTCTGGTATGAGTTTTCTGATGTCTTCTAAGCCTTGTAATATGAATATAGGACATGTCAGTCTTTGCGTTTGGATGTTTTCTCTCCAGTATGAATTTTCTGATGTGTCCTAAGATGTTCACACCTAGTGAAAGATTTGTCACATTCCTCACAACTGTAAGGTCTCTGTCCAGTATGAACTCTCTGATGTCTTCTAAGATAATCACACCTAGTAAAAGACTTATCACATTCCTTACAAGTGTAAGGTCTCTCTCCAGTATGAACTCTCTGATGTCTTCTAAGATGTGAGCAACTAAGAAAGGATTTGTCACATTCCTTACAAGTGTAAGGTCTCTCTCCAGTATGAATTCTCTGATGCCTTCTCAGTTTTGCCTTATGAGTAAAGGTTATGTCACAGACTTGGCATTTGTGAAGTTTCCCTCCAGTATGAATTTTCTGATGTGTTCTAAGATATGAGCGGCTAGTAAAGAATTTGTCACATTTCTTACATCTGTAAAGTTTCTCTCCAGTGTGAACACTCTGATGTCTTCTAAGGTATAATTTCCAGGTAAAGGATTTGTTACATATCTCACATTTGTAAGGTTTCTCCCCAGTATGAAGCTTCTGATGTCTTCTAAGACTTGAGTTGCATATAAAGGATTTGTCACATACCTCACATCTGTAAGGCTTTTCACCAGTATGGATCCTGTAATGCCTTTTAAGAAGTGATAATTTAAGAAAAGATTTACCACATTCTTGGCATTTATGAAACTTCTCTAGAGAATGAGTTTTCCTGTGCCTACTCAATGATGAATAGCGGGGAAAGGATCTGTCACACTCATTGCACTTGTAAAGCTTTTCTACAATATGGAGCCTGTAATGGCCTTTAAAGTGTGAAAGCCGAAGGAAGACCTTGCCACATTCTTGACATCTATAGTGTCTCCCAGCAGTATGCATTTTCTGATGTTTCTTGACAGTGGACAAATAGGCAAAGGATTTGTCACATTCCTTACATTTGTATGGTTTCTCTCTGGTATGCCTTTTCTGATGGCTATTAATACCTGACAACTGACGAAATGACTTTCCACACTCTTTGCACTTGTAAGGTTTCTCCCCAGTATGAAGTCTTTGATGTATTTTAAGACTTGAACGCTGGGTAAAAGATTTTTCACAAACATTGCATTTGAAAGGTTTAATTCCAGTATGTATTCTCTCATGTTCTCTGAGGTATGCAGCAGTCTTGAAGTATTTCCCGCATGTCAGACAATGGTGTCGCTTGTCTCCAATATCGATTGGTTGTTGTAAAAGACTGTATGCAGAGCTCAAAGAATCATCATGTTCTCCCTGCCTGTGCTCTTTCTCTGCAGTGTAGACTCTCTGATCTTGAGTAATACAAGAACACAAATTTAAAGATTTCTCACAATCTTTAGATTGACAAGGTTCTTCTCCAGTGTGCATGCTTTCATGTCTGTCTGGGTTTGATGAGTCAACAGAGACATCCCTGTGACTACTGCATGTGTAGTCATTAGAGTTTTCTGTAGATTCACTTGTTCTATGAAGTGCACATGTGGAGGGGTCATGAAGCACTTTTTCAAGTGCATCACACTGACAAGACTCCTTTTCAGTCTTCACATGGTGATGGGCAGGATCACATATGTAATACTTCTCTGAAAATGAGTACAGTTCAAATTAATAGGGCTTGTTCCAGGAATAAACAGGTGATAAATGACTGTGTCCCTAAATTGTCATTTAACATAAGTGTACATGGATCTACTTAGATTAGAAATCACAGTAATGGAAATTTTTCTTTTCTTTCTTTTTTTTTTTTTTTTTTTTGTTTTGGAGGCTGTCCTGGAACTCACTCTGTAGACCAGGCTGACCTCGAACTCACAGAAATCCGCCTGACTCTGCCTCCCAAGTGCTGGGATTAAAGGTATGTGCCACCAATGCCCAGCTGGACATTTTTTATTCACTGTAATTGTATGGATTCTCACAAACACGGCATGACAGCCTTCAAAGGTCAGTGAGTTATAACAGATACCTCATCTTTCTCAAAAATCCCTAACTGGAGAGAGGTCTGTGAGCATCATCAGAGGGAAGCCAAGCCTCAGGCCCAGGAGCAGTATCAGAGGGAGACCCACATCACCAGCCCAGAACCAGGGAGTGATTGTTGGGAGATAACAGGAGCAGCTTTCAAGAGTAGCTTCCAGAAGCTATTGCATAAAGTTCCTCTGGAAAAGACTACCTGGGTCCCAACCAGCATCCACTGCCATTTCTTGGTTTGAGATACCCTGCTGCTACATTGGCCACTGGAATCTCAGCCATACCTACACCTCAAGGAAAAGTCACTGGAGGTGTGGCCCTGCCTCCAACAGCAGGAGCATCCACTGAAGCTGTAACCCCACCTGCACCTCAAGGAGTAAACACCTGAGCCTTGGGCCTACCTCCACCAGGAGCAGCAATCACCGAAGGCTCAGCTCTGCTTGCATCCGAAGGAGTGGTCAGCAGAGCCATAGCCCCCAACTATACCAGTTGGAGAAAGAAAGACCCCCTGAAGCACAAGCTCCGCCTATACTGATTGCAGGAAGAGATGCATAGACAACAAAGAAAGCACTCAATGATACAAAGAACGATATGGCACCATTGGAAACTAGCAGTGCTACAACAGCAAAACCTGAACATCCCAATGCAGATGAAGCAGAAGAAAACGACCTTACAAATAACTTTATAAGGATTATTGAGACCCTTTAAGGGGGAAATGATAAACTCCCTTAAGGAAACAAAGGAAAAGACAAACCAAAAAAAAAAATGGAAGAAATCTCTTAAAGAAAGCCAAGAAAAAGCAATCAAACAGGTAGAGGAAATAATTCAAGATATGAAATCTGAAATAGAGGCAATACAGAAAAGACAATCTGGGTAAATGATCAGCAACCACAAACCCAAGCATAAACAACAGAATACAAGAGATGGAAGAAAGAATTTCAGGCACTGATGATATGGTAGAAGAAACAGATTCAACAGTCAAAGAAAATTTTAAATCAAAGAAATCCTTAACACAAAACATGCAGGAAATCTGGGACACCATGAAAAGACCGAAACTAAGAATAATAGGGACAGAAGAAGAAGTCCAACTCAAAGGCACAGAGAACATATTCAACAAAATCATAGAAAGCTTTCCCAACCAAAAGGAGAACATTCCTAAGGAAGTACAGGAAGCTTACAGAACACCACATAGACTGCACCACACAAAAAAAGGCCCCTCGGCACATAATATTCAAAATAATAAACATAAAATACTGCCAAACCAAATCCAAGAACATATCAGAAAAATTACCCACCACGATGAAGTAAGATTCATCCCAGAGATTCAGGGATGGTTCAATATACGAAAATCTGTATATTCTAATTCACCATATAAAAAAACTGAAAGAAAAAAAACCACTTGATCATCTCATTGGATGATGAAATAGACCTTGACAAAATTCAACACCCCTTCATAATAAATGTCTTGGAGAGAACAGGGATACAAGGGACATCCCTAAACATAATAAAGGGAACACACAGTAAGCCAACAGTCAACCTCAAACTAAATGGAGAAACTCAAAGCAATCACACTGAAATCAGGAATAAAATGAGGCTGTCATATCTATTCAATATAGTACTCCAAGTTCTATGTACAGCAATAAGACGAAAAAGGAGATCAAGTGGATACGAATTGGAAAATCAGTCAAACTCTTGCTATTTGCTGACAGGATTGTTTACATAAGTGACCCCAAAAATTCTACCCTGGAACTGCTACAACTGATAAACACCTTCAGTAATGTAGCGGGATACAAAATTACCTCAAAAAGTCAGTAACCCTCCTATATACAGATGATGCATGAGCTGAGAAAACAAATCAGAGAAACATCTCCTTTTACAAGAGCCACAAAAGGAGATCAAATATTTTGGAGGTAACTTTAACCAAACAACTGAAATACCTGTATGACAAGAAATTTAAGTATTTAAAGAAAGAAATTAAAGAATATATCAAAAAATGGAAAGATATCCCATGCTCTTGGATATGTAGGATCAACATCATAAAAATGTCAATCCTACCAAAGTAATTTACAGATTCAATGCAATCTCCATCGAAATCCCAGCACAATTCTTTTTTTTTTTTTTTTTTTTTTTTTTTGGTTTTTCGAGACAGGGTTTCTCTGTGGCTTTGGAGGCTGTCCTGGAACTCGCTCTGTAGACCAGGCTGGCCTCGAACTCACAGAGATCCACTGCCTCTGCCTCCCGAGTGCTGGGATTAAAGGCGTGCACCACCAACGCCCGGTCCAGCACAATTCTTCGCAGACCTAGAAAGAACAATGCTCAACTTCATACAGAAAAACAAAAAACCCAGGATAGACAATACAACCCTATACAAAAAAAACATCATCTGGGGGCATCACTGTCCTTGACTTCAAGCTCTATTATAGAGCTACAGTAATGAAAGCAGATTGGTATTGGCATAGAAACAGACAGGTGGACCAACACCCTGATGTCAACTCACACATCTATGAACACCTAATTTTTGACAAAGACTCTAAAAAGATAGAGTGGAAAAAAGACATCACATTCAGTAAGTGGAACTAGCTGTTGACATATAGAAGAATGCAAATGGTCCAAACCTATAACCATGTAGAAAACTCAAGTCCAGATACATTTTATACCAGAATTAAGTCACTATAATTCAGGTGTAATAAGACAAAATGCCTTTTAACAGTTACTACAATAGATAGGATGCATCCTGGGACTAGGACACTACATTAAGTTATATGATCAGGAATCCTTTCAAGTGGAATTGAACCTTGCAAAAACATTCTCAGCTCTTGCTTTCTCCATCACTTGAAGTCTTCACTGTTGTCCTGCTCATTCACTAGTCCACCCTAGGTGTGGTTCTCTCTCCTCTCCACATTCCAGGGAAATCTCATTCTTTTCAGAGAGGTGACCATGCCTGCCTTGATACAATAATCAACATGTCCTTTGAGACAGACAATGACCCATGACAGAATTTAAGAATACAGAAGTCTGACACAGTAATGCACTCAGGACATAAAAACACAAGGCAGCAGAATCAAGGTAAGATTTGTCAACTGATATTTCTTATGGAAATCCTTAAGTATATTTAGTAGCTTCGGTTTGTATACACTGAATTTTTCTCACAATTAAAACCATGCGAATTGCAATAATAGACATGGCGCTTTAAGGTATAAAATATTACAAACTACTGAGTTCATGGATAAATCTTGACACCCAAATGAAGGGTAGATGGCACCTCTGAAATGGAAAAAGGAAAGAGAAAACGAAATAGCATGAAAAAGTTCTTTCCTGCTACTGTAGGAAAGCCTTGTGTCCTGTTCTTTTTTTTTTTTTTTTTCAGGACAGTTCAACAGATTTTTAGATCCAATGAAGTTAGAACAACAACAACAACAAAAAAGATGGGTTATGAATTCTACAAGCAAAATGTTCTCACCCACAAAGACCAGGTTGTTGTAATTCTCCAACATCACATCAATGCACAAAGTCCTCTGAGCAGAGTCTAGGCATTGCCATTCCTCCTGGGAGATGTCCACAGTCACATCCCTGAATGTCAACAGTCCCTGAAACAAAAGAGCATGGTCTGACCACTTGCTATCTGGAAGTGCTTTCCTGGATATAAGGAGAAGGAATGTATACAAATGAAGATGGTTACTCAAAAGGATGATGTCCAATGCAGTCATATTCTATCACAAATGTTCTAACTCTGTGAAAATAGGATGATACAACAGTCTTACAAGCATTATACATGAAACAAGTACACTTATGTCTGGGCACTGTTGTCTATCTCTTATGGATGCTGTGTTTATGTTACACAGGATCTCAGCAGACATGTATCAGAAGGAAAATTCATTATTGAGAAAATGTCATTTACATTCTGTACCTGTAGATCATGCTAAAACACTGACCTATATCAATCCAGGATGTACTTGGGTCTTACATGTCTCTATTGTATCAGGCTTAGTTGGGATGTTTAAACTCTAGGTCCAATCCCCCACCATTAAATAACAAAGGGGTAGATATGGAAGACAGACTATATGATGGATTGTATAGACAAAGAGTTTTGGTGTTTTGGATTTTAACAGCACTACATACTTTCACGTTTACTTTTAAGAGACTGTTTGGGCCACTAAGAAGAGATAGAAAAATCTGCAATATTTGATATAATCCAAAATTTCCCTAAGAATATACATAAACTAACAGAGAAATGAAAAGTTCAGAAGTTTTAAACAATATTTCACTTCACTCCCAAAGAGCATAAAAAATTAGGAAAGTATAAAAACACATAAAAATGTTTAGGGTATAAATAACTAAGAAAATCTTTAGCAAAATCATTCAGGATTCCATAAAGGCCACCATGGAAATGCAAATTAAAACTACTTGGAAACATATGGCCTCACCCCAGACAGAATGGCTGTCATTTATTAACCCAACAAGAAATTTTTGAGTGGATAGGGCAAGAAATGAACCCCAAACCACTGTTGATGGAGGGGAGGGTACAAATTAATAAAGCCATTGTGAGAATCAACTTGGAGATCATTGAGAAAATTGAAGAGAGAACTAACATGTGACCCAGTCCTTTTATTCCTGGCCATATACCCACAGAACAAAACACCCCACTACAGAGATATTTACACCCCATGTTTACTGTTATTTTATCACCAAAGGAAGCGTATTGGAATCAAACTAATTACCAACAGATGACTGGATAATGAAAATTGTGTAAAATGAAATACAATTCAGCTGGAGAGAAAAATAAAAAATTGAAGGGGAAATGGATGGATGCAATGTGTGTAACATTAACTGCGGTCATACACTTTTAAAAAGAAGACACCACATTTTTTGCTCATATGCAGAATCTACCCAATCATATAGAAACAATGTAAATGTGGACACAGTATAACATGTAGAAGAGAACGGGAAGGTTAAATCATCAGGGACTGAATGCAGGTAACGAATACCAGTTATGGAAAAGGATATAAAGCTAAGTACTTTTCTAGTCCTAATTCTGTCAAAGGCTTTTGAGGTTTGGAGTGGTGGGTACATAAATTAAAATATATTCGATTGTGAAATATGAAATTCCATGTGAGGCTGCAGAGCTTCCGAGTCCTGTGATGTCTCTAACTGTATAAAAGTAGATTGAGTTGTATAATCGTTGGGTCTGCCTAATTGCAGTGTGGGATTTTCTTGTTTGCTTGAAGAATTGTTAATAATAAAATTGTAAAGATTATCAGAAGCAGAAAACTAAGGGTTTCAATATATCAAAGTATAACATTTTTAGATAAGGAGTAAAAAGGGCCACTGACCTGGGACATGTTTACTGGAGAATCATCCATTTCTTACTGTTTCTTTTCTTTAAATTTCTCTTTCAGGAACAATAAATACATGGCTTGCTTCCCTATCGAATAAAGTGGTCAAAAAGGAAGAGTTAAAATTAATACTGAAAGCTGTTGGAGAACAATGTCAAACCACATGAAAACACCCAAGAAAAAGAATATGACCAGGTGTCTGGTCAGTGATCCCAAATACAGGAGAGCATGGAAAGGCACTTGAAACTTGAATAGAAAATCACCATCAAGCACCCCGTTGCACAAAGAAAACTGTTCTCTTGAAATTGACCAATCAACAGTTTATTTAATTAAATACATTAGAGACAAAACATACACAGAGGAATCATCCATGAGAACATGGGCAATAATAAATGCCATGAGAAGAATAAATACAGGGAAACTGGAAAGTAATTATCTATGAGCAATACAGCAAACCACTATTTTCCAAAAAAAAGGAAGAATACTATCAATAATTCAACCAGTAACAACAACAACAACAAAAAAACCAAAACTATTGAAAATAAAAATGCCGTGAACAACAACAACAAAAATACTAACCACACTGAAAATCAAAAGAGTGTCCTCAATTAAATTAACAAACCTTCAGGTTAAATAAATTCAGCCCATGGCCCAGCTGTTCCACTCCTCGTCATAAGCTCAAAGGACTCGACAGATACCCCATAGATACCTCCTTTCTCACCCCTGTCCATCCCTGCTCTACTCACAATAGCTACAAAATGGAAACCACCTAACGTCCTTCAACTGGCAAATGGACAGTGAAAGCGTGGCGCATATATACTATGGAATAGTATTTATCTGTAAAGAAAATTGACATCATGTGCTTCATAGGTAAATAAATGGATGCAGAAATAAAACATACTGAGTAAGGTAACCTAGACGCAGAAAGACAGACAAGGCATGATCTCTCTCATAGGAAGTTCTAGCTCCAAATCTTCAGATGTGAGTACACAACCTGGAGAGACTGCAGTCACCAGAAAAGTAACAAGACAGCGCTGTGGGGTGTGAGGGATTGACAGAGATGGGAGCAACAGGGAACAAGTGATCTGAAGGGGAAAATGGAGAGACAGGGGTGAGGATTTAATTATGGAGAACAGATGGACATAAACACAGAAGGCGAGAATAACAGTAAGGGTGTGTAGAAAATTTGTACGGAATCCACCTATTCCTTGACTATTATCCAGCCACCAAAAATATGTATAGTACATATAAGCCTGCATAAGCACACACATTTAGACTACAAATGAAAATTTCCCAACTGGACTGGTGATGCTCGTCGGGGTGATATTTTGTTTGTGCTGTAGACACAGAGGCCAGGCAGTGGTGTCTCACACCTTTAATGCCAGCACTCGTGAGACAGAAGCATACAGATCTCTGTGAGTTCAAGACTGCCCTGTACTACACGAGTTTTAACAATCCTAAAAGACAAACACAGCACACCCCTTTCATCCCATCACCAGAATGGTAGAGACAGGATTGATACAGTTGGGAGGACAAAGGAATATAAGGCTGGAAAACAGAGGAGCTCAAAGAATTTAGTCGGAGGTTTTGCAGAGACAGCATTCGATCTGAGGATTCCTAGAGCTAGGATAGCCCTTTTGGTCTGAGCATTTGTAGAGGTAAGAACTCTCTAGAGGCTATCCACTCTGCTTTGCTGATTTTCTAGCATTCACCTGTGTGGTAATTGCCCCACTAATAGGTTGAGGGTGTGGCATGGTCGAATCTTTCCCAGGACACCCTGAAAATCACAGGAGGCCCTGGGCCTCTAAGGCAATGACTTAGAAAGGACAACTTACCCAGTCGAAAGCTGATCTTAGCATAGGGGAGAGCAGGTGTGAGGAAGAAGGGTGTTTTCCCATCACGGGACCCTGGGACCAGTGGGAGGAAAAACAGCCCCCTTGGTGGAACCTCCAGATAAAAAGTTTCTACACCCCTACACTCCAGTAAGTGTCCCTGCCGGTGCAGCAATCCAAATCAGACCAAATCAAACTGAATTAGAAAAGGCTCACATTTAATGGATGCAATGCTCCCAGATGGTTTTCCAGCCCCCGGAGAGGAGACAAAGGGAGACCAGAAAAACCATGAGTCTGTAGGAGTGGTCTTGAGTATCTCTAGGGGAGGAGCCATCATTTGGTGGGATTTCTGAGATGCAGCAGGATTTAGAGAGAGGTGGGGGAAGGGACTTGGATGGAACCTCCACCATAACACTGCTAATATCTGATTCTGGGTTTTTATTGTTTAGACCAAGTAGAATTCATGCTACAGATCCTCACCAGAGACACAGAATTTCCACCAAAACAACCAACAGCAGGTGTAAGAAGCCTGCTTTGAACTTTTTGGTTACAGTTGTCCAAGAGACTTCCAAACATTACAGGGTATTGTGGTTGCCCATGATTGCCTCCCAGAAGAGGCAGGAGTTGGGTCCCCAGTGCTTAAGAAGCCACACACCTCAGACACAAATACCAAAGGACTTGGGATGAAACCAATCTTAAAACCTCCTTCCTGGGGACTAGGTTTCATGGTACCAGAAGGCAACATGCAAGCTTCCAAAGGAGGGAGTCAAACAACTGTCCTACCCAGATATGACACCTGTGAACCACAACAGTGATCTGCACTGCACGACAGCCCTAAGGATGCAAGAGTGTCACACATACCTTGGCGGTGACCAACAGCTTCTAATTGGATGAAGACCCTCTCAACAAGAAAGCTAGCCAAAGCCGGGCGTTGGTGGCGCACGCCTTTAATCCCAGCACTTGGGAGGCAGAGGCAGTCAGATCTCTGTGAGTTCGAGGCCAGCCTGGTCTACAGAGCTAGTTCCAGGACAGTCTCCAAAACAATACAGAGAAACCCTGTCTCGAAAAAAACCAAAAAAAAAAAAAAAAAAAAAGCTAGCCAATTTTCCCAGCGATATCAAAGGCATGCATCCTGGAGGAGAGCCTACAACCAGTCCTCTCCTAAGCCAGCATAAGTGCTTACTGCATTCTAAATATTTGTCCTAAATTCCAACAGACAACAGGAGCCAGTATAGATGGAGTGTGGCAGGCTGTAAATACGCTTCCAGATTCTTATCGAAACTCTATTGCCATTCGTTTCAAGAATAGAGACAAAAACCACTGAAGGGTAGAGAATACTATAATACAAAATCTCAAAAAAAATACTGAAAACAATACATAGACCTAGAGGTATTAATGTTCATCATTTTTATAATATATAGAAACAAAAGAAATGAACATGATTCAACAGTGGTAGGAAAACATGATCAGTGGTGGGAATGAATAAGGACAGCATCACTGGCATGCACAGTCAAATAAAATCTTATTGACTCCATCATCTGTCTCCTCTCTCCTCAGGCCTGTTTGTTCTACTGCACAGGTGAGCAGGTCTGATGCATCCGAAGTCTGCACACGAGAGAAGGATGCTTCAGAAAGCACCTGGATTTCTGACACAGCACTGTTGAGATATCTTCTTTGTGCTGTAACAAATAAAGCTTGCCTGAAGATCAGGGTCAGAGTTAGTCACTAGTTCACCATCGAGGTCTGCAGACCTCTGTGCCGACAGAGAGGAAGTCATATGGCTGGCAGAGTGAGGAATATAAGGCAGGAAGAGACAGGTCAGCTTATGGGAGGCTGAGTTAGCAAGGTAAGAGTTGTCGGTAGTTGCTGGGCATTGATGGCACACGCCTTTAATCCCAACACTGGGGAAGCAGAGGCAGGGGGAGGTCTGTGAGTTCGAGGCCAGGATGATCTACAGAGCAAGTTCCAGGACAGTCTCCAAAACAATGCAGAGAAACCCTGCCTCGAAAAACCGAAAAACCAAAAAAAAAAAAAAAAAGTTGTCTGTGGCTTGTTCCTTCCTCTCTGATCTTTCTGCATTTGTCCTGATACCTGCCCTCCATGTTTCCATTATTAGGATCAATTAGAACTCGTGCAACAATCTGGTACCCAATCTTGAAAAGTCCGCTTGCCTGTGGCATTGCAGTCACTGGTACATTCGAGAGATGTCGCTGGAGTCGCAGCCCCCACAAGTTAGGTTTTCTTTTCTTTTTCCTCCAAGCCTCGGAGCAAGTTTGTATTTTTCCTGTTATAGCTTCCTACAGCTGCCACCCAAACTCCAAAGGTACACGGGCTCCTAACACAGGGCTTAGCCCTTGCCCACCTGGCTATGCCTTCCGGCGGCTCCTGTCACACGCATCCCATGTGTGTTTTTCAGTCAGCTCTGTCTCCCCTATGGGTTGTGGGCTCCCCCTGAATCCCCTCCTTGAGCTGCTGTCCTACTAGGTGTTATGGTGGACGTTCCACTCAAGGCCCCCATCTCCTATCTCCCTCCAAACCCTGCTGCATCTCAGAAAGTCTGCCAAATGATGACCCCTCCCCCAGAGACCCGTTTTGCCAGCGTGGGGACAGTGAACAGAACCTGCTGCATACATCCATGGTTTCTGGGTATTGTGCTCCCGCCTTTCCTTCAGTACTCAGAGTCTCACAGCACAAGTCTGGTTGACTAGGGTCACAGTGCCTCCAGATTCCCACCTATCTGGGAACTGGGACCCGGAACATTGCATCCTGGCACCTTGCTGCCGGAGACACCGGCCCCTCCCCTACTCCTCCAACCCTGCCTGCCTAACCCTCTCCTATGGGGTCACGACTGTCATTCGGTGGTCCAGATTCCTCTCATTCCTCCCCTATCTACCTCTTCCCCTCCAGATAGAGTAACAACTTCCTCTCTCCTTCCTTACCCACCTTCCTCTTTCCCCTTCCCTCCTACTGCCCCTCCCTATTCTCCCATGACACCTTGTCCCCTCTAGACGTTGTCCTATAATTGTCCCAGCCTCTCCAGCGGGAGCCACGGTCCTGGCCACCCATCTCAGTTCTCACTCAGTGCCAGATATTAAATAGCAATTTTTTTTTTTTTGGTTTTTCGAGCCAGGGTTTCTCTGTGGCTTTGGAGGCTGTCCTGGAACTAGCTCTTGTAGACCAGGCTGGCCTCGAACTCACAGAGATCTGCCT